TTACTTTCTCACCTCAATTTCGAAGTTCCACTCCATAATGAATAACTTTCTTCCATATTCTTCATTCAATCCATGGGTATTAGTCAATAGTTAATGACCTTATTCAGTCGTTTCCCCAACTAAATTGCTCAAAAGTGTATATCAAAAGGGATATTGCCTATTTTGTAATATTTACTTTCCCTAGCATTTTTATTGTATTTTTATTATAAATTATATTCAAATTTATTAGAAATTATTATATCTTTACAGAAGGAAAGTTTAGTTAAGGGATTTTGAAAAATAACAAAATAAAAGGTTTTGTTAATAATTTTTGACAATTAATTAAGGTTTTTAGTTGAGATGAAAAAAAGTTTATGGCACGAGGAGGAGATGAAAAATGGCAAAAGGAGGGAAAACTCATAAGGTGGGGTTGAGATGGGGAGTTGATGTCCGAGTGGATCGAGGTCACGATAGCTCAGGTGGTAGAGCAGCGGCGTATCTAGCCGAAGGTCGTGGGTTCGAATCCCGCTCGTGCCATTAACTTTTTTTCATCTCAACTAAAAACCTTAATTAATTGTCATGTATTAATTGGTCAAGCGGACCACGAAAGTAGTGAGTTAATAATTTTGTTTATTGTACACATTAATTAGTAGTTTGTATAATGTACTCTATTACCTGAAACCTCTGTGCACCTGTTCGGCATACGGTTAATAAGGTTGTCACTAATTTCATAAGGAATTTCTCTCCATAGATGTTGTAACGGTCCACTCAGTTGTTGCAGGTCAACTGGCTGCGGATGGTGATCGAGAAGCAATCTCTGCAACGCATTCTACATGAGTAGGATTGAGGTCTGGAGACAATGGGGGAAGGGGCAGATGGGAAATGCCCAGGTTTTCTAAACATTGATGAACATCTCTGCCTCAATGAGGTCTGGCATTGTCATCCAGAAATCGAAAATCCCTACCAATGAGATCTCTGGTTTGAGGGATGTATTCCTGGATAATTTCTTGGACATAACGGACTGTGGTGAGGTTACCTTCAACAATATGGACTCCAGTTCGTCCTGCAGTGTAAATCCCACCCCCGACCATTACACCGCCTACTTCAAACTCCACTGGAGGGAACACGAACTAGAGCATTATAAGCATCTTCGGTGCCTGCTATCAATATTCAGACAGAAACGCGGCTCATCAGTAAACATGACAGCATTCCAATTGGTGTTCTCTTCTCGTCTTGCAGCAATAACAATATTTCTTTGCTCTTAGCGTCGTAGTGCGCTGAAATCCACTATCAGGCCTCCTATTGGCACTTCCAGTCTCCCGAATCCGGGCAGACCACGCTATGTGAAACACCAACTGCCTCTTCGTTCGTTCGTCTGTGTACCATATCATTTTATCTGATGTTCTCCTAAATTATTCTTCTTCTTTATTGAGTCCTTATGGTGTAAAGAGTTTTTGGGATCTTGTAGCCCCATTTTTTTTAATGGGTGTCTGTTTTATTATGTATAATTATGTGCCCGAAGTGTTTAGTTTAATTCCGTTTTTATATTTCCAATGGTTTAGCAGTGTTTGTAGTGCAATGTAAGTGGTTGTTTTTATTACCTCTGTGATACATAGTTTTGCCAGTGTTTGTATGCTGTCTAATGTTTGGTAGCGTGTTTTTGCTCAGCTTTGGTCCACCAGATTAGTGAGCTTTAGGATAATCTGGGCCTTATTATAATTGGATATACCTGCTTAGCAGAAAATAAGATTTGTTTGGATTGCTTATTATATAATTTTAGTAAATTAATGTTTATGTTTATTTTTATACCCTATAAATAGGTTTTTAACCATTATTTTTCGTTTAAACTTTTATAATTGCGCTACAATTGTACATTCTACACAAATTGTTACAATTTTCTTTCTTGAGTTTATAGTTTATTATAAAAAAATTATAATTTAAATTATAGTTTCTTTATATGGACAAATTTGTATTTTTCTCTTTTAAAATGTATTGTATGTTGTATGTTGGTATCTGCCCGTTTAAATGAATAAATAAATACGAGTCGGATGCTCTAACCACTCTGGCATCGCGGTCCTCTTGCCACAAAATAACATTTTAATGGGTCGACGGTATTCTCTGACTAGAAAGAAAATTTACCTTTTGCCTTTTTTTTTTCAAATTTCAATCAGATGCCGAAGTGATAAAAAGTGCCTACATTGACGACAAGTTGCACTAGCATCTTCTTAAGTTCTTAACCTCAATAAATCACCGTTGAATATGATACGTCCATGAAAAATGGTTCTTTGGAAAAAAATTTCTATTTTTTAATTTAAAAAATGACTGAAAGTAAAAATTGCTAATAATTAAACAAAAACAGAAAATTCCTAGGGTAAAATAAATCAGTTAGGATATATGTATAGGAATGAATACAAAGGAGGAGGGCTTAGGTAAAATTTATTTGTCGGGATCGATAGAGTCCTGGCCTTAAAGAAGACAAGTGGGAACCTTTACCGTTTGGTATATTTTTGTCACAAGAACCTCATATAAGGGCATTATAGTGGAGCCAAATCGTCTCAAACATTTGTAACTGTACCCGTATTATTTCCCAATTACTGAACTTAAATACGTTTTGATCTTCGAGTCAAATCGCATTATTTTCCATCAGGGCCAGTGCTTGAAAGGATGTTTAAAAATATCGAATGTATATAGCAATGTTGATATTATGCGAACGGTAGACCGGTTCAAGTTTACGGATAATTGGGCCCGTGAGGGTATAACGACGATGAACCATATTTAAACGTCCTGAACTTTGAACTCCTAAAATTTCTCAATAATTAAAGGAAACGCGCGCTTGTCTTTAATTGGCACATAAAAAACAGGGATAAGGCATGTTTACGCCGTAAGGATTACTCGGGATAAGATTTCGGAAAACCTCCCGCCATGTTTCCGGCCTCGTCGTCGGCCAGATCAAGGCTTGAATTCGTTGTGTCGTCGTCTTAAGCAATTGTAATTTTATATAAGTCGTGATCCTGCTTGAAGTTTTTTTTTTCGTTTATTGTCTTCATTTGATGAATTTATCGTCGTCATCGCTCCGGTTCGTGAAGTTCCTGAGACATCTGCGCCGTGAAGGTCCCCGTCCCGACTTTTCCTGCCTTTTCCGAACATTTTCCTCCTTGCAACCCCCTTTACCTCAGTTGAGGTAGCTGGACTATCGTCACCGGAGGTGAGTGTTTTTTTCCTTTTTATTTTATAATTCATTTTATTTTAGTTTAATTTTAAACCCATACAGTCCACTTGATCAAACATTTTGGTCCTCCGGGCCGGATCGGAATCAGTTGGGTTGTTGAATTAATTTTCCTTAAATTGATTAAATTAATTAAATTAAATTCATTCATTTTCGTTCGTGATCTTCGTAATCGTGGGTCGGTACATTGGTTCTAACAATTAAAAAAAAATGGAGAAGTCCAAACCAGAAAACTTACTAAAAATACTAACCGCTAAAAGAGAAAAATTGTTGCTTAGGTAAAGAGATTGTACGAGTTCGGAAGAAAAATTGACGAAGGCAAAAACCGGAGCTTTTTTCAGAATGCCTACTCACTGCATGATTCCACTGTAAACGAACTGGAAGAGTTGAATTTCGGATGAATGACGTTTCCTTACAATTAGACAAGGATTTTATTCCGAAATTCACCGACTTGTCGGAAATGCTAGAACTTATTGCATCAGTTGCTCAGCAAAATGCCAGCAAGTCCGGACATGAAGGCACAAGTTTAGTGCCCAAGTCCGAGCCGTAGCACGACTAAAGCGACTGGAACTCCCTTACTTTGATGGTACACCACAGGATTGGCCGGTTTTTTGTGAATTGTTCACCACTTTGGTCCACAAGAATGTCGACTTCTCGGACTTGGAAAAAGTGACCCATTTAGTATCGAGATTACGGGGCCCAGCCTTAAACGTTTGCCAGGGGTTGACTCCCACCGCGAACAATTACAAAGTTATCTGGGATGCTTTGTTCGACCGTTTTAATGACAAAAGGTCTTTAGCAAACGGATATTTAGAACAGGTTTTTAATTTCAAGCCTTTACGTATGGAGTCTCGAGAAGGATTAACTTCGGTTTTGGACAATTTCTGTACCCCCATTACAGCTCTCCAGCAAATCGACCTGGAGGATGTGGCAGATTTTATTTTTCTTAATCGAGGCCTGTCCATTGTGGATCCGTGGACTAGGCGTTCGTTCGAAGAGGCGTACCGTTCAGAAGATGTTCCTACATACAAGGAGTTCGTACGATTTCTCCAAAAACAAATAAAATCCATGCCATTCGATTCGCGAATTGAGACGAAACCTTCGGGACCCTCAAAGCGAACTTCCCGACCCACTTATGCATTCGTCGCTGAGCCTAGAGGAGGCCGGGAGGATCGCAGATGTCCGAATTGTGGAGCAGGTCATGGCCTTGGAGAATGCTCCCGATTCCGAAAACTGTCTCCTTGGGAGAGATTTCAATTAATAAAAAATAAATTTTTATGTCTTCGTTGTTTTTCCCCAGACCATCCAGCGCTTGATTGTGATAGTCGAATATCATGCAACAAGTGCAAACTTTCACACCATTCGTTATTACATTTGCCAGCTTCGAAAAACAAGAAACTTTCAGATTCTTGTTATGAGGAAAATCAATTATATCTGTTATCAAATATCTGTTCATTAGCAAACTCGGACGGGTTCCATGTGGATGATAGCTCAACAGTCCTTTTGTCGACAGTGGTCGTTAGAAGTTACGATGGTACGGGAAACAGACAAGATATTCGATTGTTATTGGATTCGGGAAGTCAGTCGCATTTCCTGACAAGAACAGCTTGTGCCAGATTGAATCTATCAATTGAGACGGGGAGATGTTCAGTTGTAGGTTTTGGGGGAACGTCCAAGTCCGTTGGTGGTCAGACTAAATTAACCTTTTCGTCACGATTCGACCGAAACATCTCGTTCACGATCAAAACTTTGGCCGTAGATCAAATTGTGGACGAGATGCCTTGTGCTGTAGTGGATGTCGCTAGGTTATCATTATCTAGCGGATGAGAGTTTTCATATTCCAGGTCCAGTCGATGGTATTATTGGATCGGAGCTATTCCCTCATCTTGTGAGCGGGACCAAGATCATGGATGGTCCAGACGCACCTGTCGCTGTGCACACTCGATTAGGTTTTGTGGTCATGGGAAAGGCTCCGTTAGTGGGAAAGTCAAGAGAACAAAAGCATACCCTTTTATCCAAATTGTCGAGTCCCGAGATACAGGTTTTGGAACGGTTTTGGGAAATAGAAATCCCGACACCCGTCCGTCCTATGATCACTAAGCAGGACGCCGAGTGCGAAAGGCATTTTTTAAACACGGTCCAGCGGACCGAAGGAGATCGTTTTTCAGTCGCTTTACTCTTTCGTGAAGACCCGGAGATCCTTGGGGATTCCTCTGAATTAGCTTGTAAACGATTCCTGAACTTAGAGGCACGGCTGGCTCGCTCTCCCGACTTGAAAAAAGTGTACCACGACGTGTTTTATGATCATTTACAGCAAGGTCATATGTCGCCCGTTCAGGGAGAACACGATAGAACTGGATATTTTATTCCGCACCATGCAGTGTTCAAACCTCAGAGCACTAGTACACCTGTGCGCGTGGTGTTTGACGCCAGTGCCAAAACGAGTTCTGGAAAATCGCTGAATGATGTTTTGTTTGTCGGGCCTAAATTACAAGCCAACTTAGTATCATTACTCATGAATTTCCGAATATTTGCTTATGCCCTGACCGCGGATGTCCGACAAATGTATCGGCAAATTTTGGTTACCGAGCGACATCGTCGTTATCAACGCATATTGTGGCGTTTTGATCGTGAGCACCCGTTGTCTATGTTTGAATTAAATACAGTCGTTTTTGGTATTTCATCTTCCCCATATTTAGCCTTGCCCAACATCCAGCAGTTAGTTGATGAGGAGGGTAAACATTTCTCATTAGCAGCAGAAGTTACCGCACGAGACATGTATATGGACGATCTTTTGACGTCCGTGAGTTCTCTCCAGGAAGCGAAAATACTATATAGACAATCTAAGGATTTGTTCTGCAGGGGGTTCTGAGTTGCGGAAATGGTCCAGCAACTCTTCCCTTCTCGTAGATAGTTTGGAAAAGGGTGATGTTGAAGTTTCCCGAGTCGAATTTGACTCCTGTTCTGTATTGGGATTGAGATGGCTTCCTGATGGTGTCCTGTTCGATTTTAGGATGGAGTTGGAGCCTCGGTCTGGTACAAAGCGAAATATACTTTCCACGGTCGCTCGAATATTTGATCCTTTAGGTTTTTTTTATCCCCTGTTAGCTTGTATTTCGAAGTGTTTGTTTTCCGTGTAGATGTGTCATTCTTGTCTGTCCTGTTGAGAGTGGCACTCTCAGAATGCCACATCTACACGGAAAACAAACACTTTGGGCCCTGAAGATGATCTCAACAAAGATCGAAACGTTGGCACGATAGAGAAAATGTTTTTCTAAAACCTATGTCAAACCAGACCGCAACTCACGATCCCCGAATGATCATTGTTGTCTAAGTTGTCTATCCTCATTACGCTTAAGGCTTTTTACCAGATCCCAAAGCTTCAAAGGACTCCGTGTATCCTTCAGGCCCGGGCTTTTCCTCTCACATGAATAGACCCTGACTGCATAGGTCTTCGCACAAATATAGGACATTTTCCGCTGTTGTTTCTTCTTCTTGGCAATGACTTTACATTGTATATGCTGTTTCGAGTACATATGTCCGCAATCTATAGCGTCCTAGGTTTAGTAGTTCTGACGTTATTTTTTGCCCTTTTTTGAACTTTTTTGCATGTCTTTGTTCTGGGCTACATTCCAATTGAACGAAGGATATATTTTTAATCCATTGTCTGATCATTGGATCTACGTTTTTGGAAGTTTGGTATGACACAAAAGAGTTCAGGGCCAATAGGTGTCCTCATCATTCCTTGGTCAATTTATCGGCCTCTTCCTTGCCCTTCTGCCCCGTGTGCCCTGACCATAACAGACGAGGGTAATTTTATTGTTTTCCCCAATGTCTTACAGTATCCTAATACAATCCCAAACGACTCTGAACTTTACTGCCGATGCGGTAATTGCCCTTAGTGACGCCTGGCTGTCCGAGTAGTTGACTATTCTTCTGATAACGCTAGCCTTTTAATCTACTTGGCGCACTGTTTGATAGCCACAGGCTCCGTTTGAAAGACAGTGGCTTATTGCCCAGGCCTGTTTGAATTCTAGTCCTTGGTTTATTTCGATAAATACCCGACCCATGCTCGGTTTTAGAGACTGTATATCAGTAATGGAATTAACTCAGATCTTATTGCCTAGGCCCTAAATGCCCAGGAAACCATGCCAGGGTCAGATTATTTGTGTCACAGACTTCTGCCAGGGCTTGCATACAGTTCCATACACTTTTTGCCTTCACCTTGCATGAGGCTAAAGCCTTAAGTGCTGCCTGATTATCAGATAAGATGGCTATCTTCCAGGAAAGTGTTCCTTGCCTGTTTATTTCTCTGGTGCAGGGTTCAGTTGCTATGATTTCAAACTGAAAACTGTAGCATATTTACCTAAGTTTAAAGTCAATTTGGTCTTCATAATCATCCCGAAAAATCCAGCTCCCATTTCCTTATCAGTTTTGGAGCTATCAGTGTACCAGTAGGAATTTACCTTTAGAGGTGTTCCTTTGACCTACTCTTCCTGTTCTGGTATCTTCATGGTAAAGTTATATTTTGGAATAGTGGCATCGATTGGCATGCATAATATAGCATCTCCCTGTATCTTCTCCCTCAGTTTCCATTGTTTGTTGACATGGCCTATCATTGCAGATGGGTGTCCATTTATTAGCCTGTGAGCTGCTTCTCTGGCTTATCCTGGGATTAAAATATGAAGTGGTGGGAGTTTTAAAACATCGCCAAGGCCACAGTTGGTGTTGTACTCCTAGCTCCAATGACGCTGAGAAAAGCTTGTCTTTGCATGCCATTTAATAGCCTGATTGCTTTCGCCTGCAAAGTCTTGGTCCACCACACTTCCAACTCATATGTTAACATTGCTCTTAAGACACAGGTGTAGAGTCATAGGGTCATTTTGGGGTTTAATCTTCGTCTTTTTGCACAGAGCCTTCTGCACCTCCCACAGGTAATTTTGGCTCTTTGAGTAGTTTTAATTATATGTGAATTCCATGTGAGTTGTTGGTCTAGTGTGATCCCTAGTTATAAATTGGTGTTCTGTTTAGGCTAGGAATTTTTAGGCTTCCTAGTATCCTTCCTGTAAAGGGAATCATTATGATTTTGTGAGGGTTAATAGATAGCTTCTCCTGTTTACATCACCTGACTACCAGGTTGAGAGCTCATTGTACTCAGTCCATCATGATGTCTGCATGGCGGCCTTTTAACACTATGGTAAGGTTGCCACATAGCCTAGAAGTAGAACCCTTCTTGTTCCAATATTCGTAGTTCATGTACCTGTGCTGTCGACAATAGGGGTGAGAGAACCACCCCCTTCTCGGCATCCCCTAGTTGTTTTAGCCCAGGTGGTTACACCGCTCAAGGTAGATATAATTATCCTTTTCCGTAGGCCCTCTTCCACCCAGTGACCTTTTCTGAATCTCCTCTGTTTTTAATTGTTTTGTATAGAGGATATGTCTGCATTGTTGAAAGCATCTTCTACATCCATGCTCTATCTCCTTCTTGTTTATGAACTTGGTTATGTGTTTACATAGGTAGTAGCTCTGTGGATCTCCCTGGTTGATATGTGAATTGTCACTCACTGAGGGGTTTGTCCTTCAGTGCTTTCTATCTAATGTGATTCTCAACAAGTCTTGTAGTCAATGGGTCATCCTACTTTTGGTATATACACCACTCATATCTCTCGCCAGTTTTTAGAAACTTAGCTCCAGGCTAGGCAGGCTCTAAACATTCTCACTAAGTAAGGCGTAAGGATTCCTTGACCTTTTTTTTAGTAGTGCTGGGTAGATTCCATTCACTCTTAGTGTCTTATATGGGTGAAACTTCTCAAGTGCCCATCTTGGCTTTTAGTTGTACTGTGGTTGACACCCCTTCCACTTTTCTTCTGTGGGTCTTTTTGCTGTTGAGTGTTCAAGGAGTCCTTCTTCGTGGATTATTTTTGCTCCTGGGAAGTTAGTTTTGATCAATAGGGAGAGAGTTTCTCCTTCTGTTTGTGTAAAGTTTCCATCTGTGTTTGTGAGGAAGCTGGTGTGTTTTGACAACAGTTACTTGATTTGCTCTGGCTCAGAATCTGTCTTGCATGCAATGTCATTGAAGTGCCTCCAACTGCAGGGAAGGAGAGTTTCTTTTGTCAGGATTCCTGACAAACAGATATTAAGGGAAACCACTTAGCTAATAAGCTCCAAAAGAAATGGTCATTATAGGCCTTCAAATCAAAGATGTCCCAAAGGGTGACATGATTGGTTTGCAAGTCAAAAGTTTGGGGTCAATAGAAACAGGTCTGGGTTAACATTCATGGAAACAAAGTCCTGGAGATAAAGGACTACAACAAACACATAGCCTAGTTAGTCATATGGGTGGGGAGAGCATTAGCGAAGAAGAAGTGGTTCTTGCACGGTTGAGGATTGGACACTACATGTCATTTGATGGCACAAGAGGGTGGTTGTGGCCTTCTGCCCTGCATCTACTTATGAGATAATTATTGGGGCAAACATGACCCTTGTTGGTTGCATCCCCAATTAATTTAAAAAAAAAATGCTTTGGAGAGGGGTAGCATTGCCCAATATTTCCTTGTGGTTTCTTGATGTTTTGAATTAAATACTTTTTTGAAATAGCATTTGTTAGTTTTTTGAAAGAGGGGTACACCACACAATGTCACCAAAATGCTGAAACAAACTTTATTAGTATAAAAATATTTTCCATGAATTTACAAGACATTGGCTTTTACTTCTTAAATCTATAAAACATTGAGGAATTTATATTAACAAGTTTTAAATTGTTTAATAAATATCTGTATATGCATAATTAACACCTATAGTAAAAATAGAATTTTAATAACAACGTAAAAAGTACCAAATCATTTTAAGTTTGTTGCTATTGATGCTTTACTTAAACATAACTAACACATAAATATTTACATTGTTATGTTTTGTATTTCCTACTGTATTAACATAATATCTCAAATGAACATTTATAATTTTTACACACAGTCACACAAAACCAACAAAAAACAGTTAATACAAAGTATTAAATAGTTTGTAACTCACGCATGCATAACACACACGCGTATACATACACATAAATGGTATTTTATTACATTATAATGAAAAAGCTGTGTAAATTTCTTCCAGGTTAGTTAATGAATGTTATTAAAAAATGCTGTGTTAAATTATCAAATACAGTATGGACAGCACTTATTTTTTTTTGGCAATATATTAGAAAAATATGGGCTCTAATTGAACCCTCATTTACGTACGTTCATACATTTCACATTCATTACATAATACTGGAACTCAAATATTGAAATAAAATGTAAATATTTTAAAATAATCAGTCTGAATGTCATAGATTTGAATTTTTTTTTTTACATAAATTACATAAAGGGGTAGCGAGTATATTTCTAAAAAAACAATAATATACGTTAGGAACAAAATAATGAAAGATATAAATTTATAAATTAAATCTCAAAACTAATAGAAGTAAAACGCTAAGACCATTGATGAAAATTTTAAAAATTAATTATTGAACCCTTGTTTTACCGTTACATACAGTATGATGCCATCATAACACCAGTATTTAACATTTTCTTCTTAATAATAATAATAAAATATTGATTGCATTTATATCAAACCGTAAAAAAAATTAATCTAATTTCACCATGTAATTAACCCAACTAAAAACAACTAAAAATAAAACTAGCAGTTTATGACTTTCCATTTAAGACTTTATATTGTACAAAATATATATTTTTTTAAATAAATAAATGCAGCATTAAATATTATCTGAAAGTGGCATGGAGATTATTTAGATGGGCAAATAAAATTAATGAGGACGTTATTAAAAATATAGTTGGATATATTCTCAGTATGTAAAGTAGGTTTGCTCAGTTCCCTCGAGGTAGGGCTGCTGGATTCGAACCTGAGACATTTTCTTTGTGTATGTAAAGTAGTTTGATGCTTCTAAGCCGTTGTGGCCACTGACATATTTTTGGCTATCCAAAAATTGTCCCTCAAAAAATTCTAAATATTAATATTGCTTACTATTTAATTACACAATACGCATTAACGTTATACTATTTATAATAATAGCCAATCAAACATTTAGAAAGTAAAATAAAATATTTGATTGTTTTCCAATTTATTATTATTATTATTTCTCAATTGAAAATATAATATTTCATTTCTCTATTTGTTACACACTGTGAATTCAATTTTTTTCCATCAGTGTTTTTATTTCTTATGAAAATATATCAATTTTAATGTTAAAAACTTACATTATTAATTTGAAATACCTCACATTAATGATGGTAAAGTAGAAAATAGATTAAAACACACAAAAGTTAACAAGGGTAAGTGCTTGTTGAGCAATTTTAATAATTTGATAGCACACTTTCAGTTCTCTTAAATATTAAATACTGCATTAGAAATTGTAATTCTTATAAACAATCTAAAAACAGGATTTTTACCTTTAATGGCAGCACAACAATAATTACTTTATACATTATAGTTAGTTAAACAAGTCCTATACAAATATCTCACTCTGGTAACATTAAAACACATAACATTTATAAAATGCAGAGAACAAAACAACATCAACAATGAAAGACTATTTCATCTTCCTTTGAAATATATTTAAAAAAAAAATTGAAGCAATGTTTCATACATTGATTTTATTTTTAACTCCACTTAATACTGCATAATTTAAGATTTTTGTTTGTTCATATATAAATGTTTATTAACTGAAAACAAATGACACATGACATTTTTATGGCTATGTAATTATACAGTAGTGTGATGAGGAAAATAGTTCATTTGATGAACGGGCTGTATCTGGGCATAAACTGATTGTTCACAAGGAGCAAGAAGCTCAGAATAAACTGTGCAAGATCCTGCCAAATTGAGTTCAGCATACGTGACTTCGCCCTTCTGAAATGATGAATTCACATTAAACATTTCACGCCTAAATTTTTCTAACAAATTGTTTACCATTGTTCGAATATGATTATCTATGTTTGAAGAATACAATGCTGTATTGTACTTCTGTAGGGTTTTGTCACTTGGTTCTTGAAACTCTGTAATATAAACACAAATAATTTAATCTATTTAATCTAAAATAAATCTTTTATAATTAAATACAAATATTAATATATAGTTTGTTTGTTTAGGATAATTTTGGTCTGCTTATCCTTGCTATTTTGCTCTTTCAGACTTGTTTCCACTTCTCACTGCCCTCCATGCTCAGGTTATTTTAACTTTTCAACAAATACATCACTTAACCTTATCGGGACTTGGACGAGTTATCTTGTTCGGGCTTGGAAGCTTGCCAAGCCATGTAATGAGTTATTTTGTTCTTGTGTGTTTTTGCATTTTAAGAGCTCTAGCTGGACACTCACAGCATCTATGGTGATGAGGTTGCATCCTGACATCACCCACACTTTTCCTTTCCCATCCTCATCATCATCGAACCACTCTTTTCTACCTATTCTGTTCACAGTCTTTTAGAAAATTTGACACAATCGTTATTCTAGAAAACCATTTGGCCACAATATTGTCTCATTGGAAATGTTCAACTGTCACCTCTGCCCTTTCCAACCCTCTACTTCCTACCATTAATCTATTGTCTTTCTGAGTTTTTCGCCTCTTTTCTGCCATGTCCCTACGTTGTTTATGTAGTCCTTATTTATATAATATATTTTTCTTAAACTCTGTTCTCAGGTACAGAGTTGAGCTAAATAGATCAGTAATAATTTGTTTTTTGGTTATTATGTTTAAATGTAATGAAAACTTTTGTGAAAATTAAATTGTCAATTAAATACAACTTTGTTTGTTTTTCTCCATTTGCTTACTTCTGTTGAAAACTATAATATCTAAGGAATGTACTGTCAAATTTTGAACGGAACTGGTGCACCTCAAAAAGAGTAAGAGTGATTCGATGCCCGAAACAAAATAAATCGGGCTGGGGGAGAATAGACGTAGGGGAAGGTGTTTCAGCATTTAAAATCAGTCCCAAAAAGGTTAACATGGCAAGAGGCTGAAATTTATCTGACATGACAAAAAAAAGGATAGGAAGACCATGGAAACAGCCAAAATCATCATTCTGCAGACTTCAAGGAGAAAATCTAACAGAATGTAAGCTATCAGTTTGTAGAATAAAACCAATTTAAGAGCACGAGAGATCATTAAATTGTCAATACAACACATGGCCCATTTACTATCAAATTAAAATTTTAGATTCCATTTTAATTCAATTTCATTAACCTTAAGGCTAGTACACACTCGTAGAGAAAATCTTGCAACTTGTAACTAGACAAAGTTCTGCAATTGTCTATAGACAATCGGGAACAAATTGCTGGTTCTGGAACTTTCTGTAGACAAAAGTCGCAATCTATGGATTTTTCTTTTCTCATCAACAATTATAACTGCATAAGCAGCAGTAGTGTTTCACGTAGATACCAGTCTCACTTTTGTCATTATCTCGAAAACAAACTGTGGTGTGCACATTTCAACATGTGACAAAGTTTGGGATTTATTGGAGACTGTCTACAGACAGTCACACAAGTTTGTCTATGAGTGTGTACAAGCCTTTCAAAGTACAAATGGATAAGATATCAAAGAAATGAAAGTGATAAACATCATTTGTATTACCTGAATTTAAAGGAATGACATCTGGATTATTTTCTAAACTATCTGTACTATGGTTGAGAGACTGGTCTTTGTTCTCACTAAATTTTTCTGTATCTGTCTTGTTCCTTTTTTTCTCACGACATCTTAGGATAAGTACAATGCATGTGGCAATAATTACCAGGAGAGCAACAATGCCAGAAAGCAACCCGATCAGAGGGTAAAGATGTAACATTGTCGGGTTAGCTGAAAATCGAAGAGATTAATTTTTCATTCTGAAAATATATAATTTTATGTACATAACAACACCTACATGTTCGTTTCTGAGGAGATTTTAAAGTGTAAGTGCGAATAATTGTATAATCGCTTCGACCTTTTGCGTTGACTGCATAAGCAGCTACTTGAAATTCCAATCCTGGTGGCAGTCCGACAACGGTCAAGGTGGGAGTGGTAGATGAAACATTTGCCATTAAGATTTGTTTTGACGATTCGTACACTTCCATGGCAAAATGTTGAGGCAAACCTCCATCAAAGCCCTCCGAACATTCTATCCCTAGTGATAGTTCGGTTTGATTGATCAACGAACAGTTAATTAAAGAATCTGGGCGCCCTGCAAATTTAACCAAATGTTTAATCATTCTTTTCATTTTTCATTCATTTAATTATTCTTACTGATGTAATAGAACTAAAAAATATTGTCTGAAATTAAAAAAAAAAATGCCAGACCAACCTGCTGGTATTATGTGATAAGCACAAGGGTGTCTCATTGTACCCAGTTGATTTTTAGCCCAACAAAGCAACGTTCCAAAATCATGTTCAGTAGATGGTGAAAATGAGGCTACACTGTGATTCGGTTCGCTTGTATAGTGGCTGTTTGGAATCTCTATACTTTCTCCAGTGTGATTGAATTTCCATATGTACGATGTCGCAGGAGGATTAGATTCTATTTCACAAGGTATTCTCACTAATTCGCCTCTTCCAACTCCAATTACATTGCCCTGACCCGGACGACAAACTGGAACAACTGAGTAAAGAGAATTATGTAGCATCATTTTTTTCGCATTTCAAGATTGAAGCTTACATTTCACATCAAGGTATAAAGCGTTACTTTCGCCATCTCCTTCTTGATTACTCGCAACGCAAGTATATTGTCCGGCTTTAGCTCGACTTACACTTTGAAGTACGAGACTCTGGTTTGCTAAGATTGTTCCACCACTTGGGTTGTTCCCTACGACCTTGCCCTGAAATTTAAATACAATCAGTTTTACTCCTGTACAAAATTGCTTTATAAAACTGTTTATTCTCAAACTTTACATTATGTCTCCAGCTCACTTTGTAAACCCATGGGTTGGCCTTTACATTACACTCAAAGTAAACATCTACGCCTTCTCGTATCCAACTTCCATTGATATTGCTACCTAATTCTAGGCTGACTACAGGAACATCTTAAATTTTCCGTAAGACAAAATAAGTTAATATTACAAAAATGGGAACAAATTAAAAGAAAGTTAATGCATACGATAAATATTGAGTTTCCATCCATCTTCCAGCTCTGAATCTGGAATTAGAGTATTGATAGCTCTACAAGATAAATAAGTCCCGCTATCTTCTATAGTTGGCACAAATATCAGCGTACTCACAGTCCTATTTCCGTCTGTGCTTGTCTGAATAATAGTTTAAAAATTATTAGAACAATAAAATTAAAGTTTAGTTTAGAAAATGGAAAAATAATCTACCACGTCTCTAGAATTTCTTAACTGTACACTTCCCTTCCACCACGTTATTAAAGGAGGTGGTCGGGCACCTACCACTTCACAAGATATTTCATAGGTAGTGCCCATGCTTAACGGTTTATTTTCACCGAGCATCCTCACCCAGAGAGGTTTCACTGGAAACAATGTCAAAATGTTAATGCAATCAAATAATCTTAAAAATAAGAAAAGGAAAGTTCAAAATTACACTCCACAAGTGTTTGATTGATAATATTACAACTGAAAATAAACAAAATACAACAGCAGTAGCTGGGATTTACTAGAAAATTTGTGCATAAAGTGTTTCTTAATCATAACTAGTCATTTAACATCCTTTTACTCAATTACAGTTTTAAAATATTAATAATAAATTGGCTGTTAATAATGAAGTCAAACAATTCGTAACTGTGAGACAAGCCAAAAATGGACCGTTGGCTCACTAATCTGGTGGACCAAAGCTGAGCAAAAACAAGCTACCCAAGCAGTAGGCAGCATACAAAGGCAGGCAAACCTATGTATCACAGGGGCAATGAAAACAACCACCTCCATTGCACTACAAACACTGCTAAACCATTAGAAATATTCATACAAGGAGAAGCAAGGACAAGCTCATTTAGGCTCTAGAAACAATAAAATTAGATGGGAACTAAACACTTCAGGCATACAGCAATAATTAATAAAATCAGACACCTAATATTAGAAGTGGGAACTGACTACATGATTCCAGAAACACTCTTTACAACATCCTATAAAGTCTCAACAGACTACAAAGGAGAAGAAAATTCATGAGGAATTAGATGGCTCCAAAATTTCATTTGTTTACTGAATCAGGATTTTTCTGTACACACCCAAAATATAAGTAATCCAACTCATTAGGGAAGTACACATCTGTCTTTGAAGCTGAAATACATGCCATCGATTCTTGTGCTTTTGAACAACTAAAAACTGGGTTAAACTGGGGAAGCACAACAACCTGCTGATATTTTGTGTACCAGGACATAAAGGAATTTTGGGGACACACTGGCCAGAGGAGGCATATAGGCCCTAAACCTATTCTTGTGATAACAAAAACAAGCATATCAGTTAAACATAAGGTCTTAGGTGAATAGAATGGTCTTTAGTTTCCAGTGCAAGCCGAGGTGGTAAACTTGATCGAAGGCTTGCCTAACATCAAAGATATCACCCAAGCAGCATTTCTTTCGTTCAAGGGATGATGCGATGATGTCTACCACCCTGTAACACCGATGAATGGTAGTGACAATGCCAAAAGTTAAATTAATACAAATTTAAACTGATAATCACAATCTTGTAGAATTTAAAAGTTTTACCTCTCTGAAAGAGGTCGTAATAGAAGATTCAATTCTAAACTCATTGTGAGTTATGAGATTTCTTGTCTGAAGGTGATATACTAGTTTTTTGATCATCCTGGTTTGCCTACATTCACAGGTTGGGTATATAAAACATGTTTTTCTACATTTTGCCATCCTCAGTGGTAGAATATTTGTAAAATGGTGAATATAGAATAAAACTAACACAGAGGTGTAGATGGCACAATGTTGAAAGAGTTTAACAAACAAAAACACTGGGGATGGCAGACCAGGATGATGTCCGGGAATGATCAATTAAATTGTATCGAGTTCCCCGAGTGCTTAACTAGTGCCCAGACCTGGAAGAATTCCAGGCGGTGACCCACCTAAAATATGTAACTGATTTTAGTCACCATGTTTTAATTTTTTTTTCGAACTAAAACTTGCATGTTAATTTCTGCCAATATCCATTAGATTATGCTGATATGTGATTGCTGTGGCTGAGTGTTATTTGCCAGCTAGCAGTTCCAGGTTGAAACCCACATATCATTTTAGTTGATCATAATATTGAATTGAATATTGAATATTGTAATTTGGTTTGAACCCCCCCCCCTGCACGACAACCGTTAGGTTGATGGACGTATATGACAGGAAGTATTTTATAACAAATGACATTTCCTTCAACAAGGCAAATAAATGACTAGTTTCACAATAATGCAGCAGGTCTGACACAGTTTCCTCTTCTTATTGGAAACTGAAGTCAGGAGAAGTCGCTAGCAGGAGGTAGTGAAATTCTTGCAAATATGATTTTATTTTACTGTGGATTCATTTTTTTAAGGTATGATGTACGTATTTAGGATAGGTTTTAAGGTTATTTAAGGTTAAGGTTTTAAGGTAGGTTTACGGTAACAAGAAGGGCTGAGGGACTGTCCTTATCTGATATATATTAAACAAACCAAAGATGGTAGAGCCATTTGGTACAGTTTGGCTGTCCAAATAGATAAAAACTTAATACTAATCCAATGTACCTCATTCACACAGTATTCATTTGCATTGCCTCTGCTTGACAGCAGAATGCCAGCTTCTTGAGGTTTTAAAACGATCCGTGAACCACTTGGGTTTCCTTGGTTCTTTCCTTAATACAATTATTATTTTTTGGTTTTTTTACCAGGGTGCTACAAGCAATTTTTTCTCTCATAAATCTTGTATTATAACAACAGTAGAGTGGAGAAGTATAATCCATTGAAACCACTTGGAAGGGTCAGACAAAGTTGAGTTTTGCTCTCATTTTGTAATCAATGGATTACTTCTTCACACTCCACACTTTACTATTGTTATAATACAAAATTTATGAAGACATATAAGTTGCTTTTAGCATCCCGGTACTGTTGTAACATAAAAATAAAGTAAGGAAGGACATTCACATCATGATTTACATTTGATCTAAATGAAAATAAATTTAAAAAGACAATGATTGAACCAAAATTGGTTAAATGCAACCTACAATTGTTAATAAGGAATGTATTTGATGTCACTTACGATTCATGTCAAGAGTAACAGCACTTGTTAAAGGTGAAATATGCTTGTTATTGGATGACTGACATGTAAAAACTGCGTGTAAATGCCGTCTTTCGATCTGATCAACTCGAAGCACATTACGCACGGTTTTTTCCGTTATATCATCATACGAATCATCGAGTAGAGCGTTTTCTTGCCACCAAGTCACAGTAGGAAGTGGACGACCTGAAAATACATTAAAAATGTTGAGCAAAGTTTAGCGAGGAAAACTTCAATTCAGTTTATTACCTCCGATTGACAAACAAGTAACATACACAGTCGATCCTTCATTATAAGGTCCTAGAATATAGTGTGGAATGTGTTCACCGTTGTCATACAGAATGGTCAGCTTTTCAGGTGGGACTGAAAAAAAAAGCCTTAGATAACAAATGTATTAAATTATTTGTTGGTTAATGCCAGAAAACATTTCCATGTGGTTTTTGTTCTTTTAATAAAAAAGTAAATAAATTACTTATTTTCATTTATTTGGATATTTCGGGAATTTATACTTTATCATCAGGAACTATAATTTGTTTTTTTTTTTGTTATAATTTTTATATATTTTAGCTGATAAATTTTATATCAGGATTTTTATCTTTTTATTTATATTTTTTTAAAGATGTAAGTATAAGATATCAGACATAAGTATAAAAAATGATAGATGATGATGATGGGTGTAAATTCGCGAAACGTTCAAATAAATGAAAATAAGTAATGTATTGTATATTAATCCATTTATGTTTAGTGGTCTAATTGCCTAAATTATTTATTTCAATTAATTATTCTTTTTATGTAAGATCTTGGTTGAGATGAAAAAGTTAGTGCCACGAGTGGGATTCGAACACAAGACCTTCAGCTAAATACGCTGCTGCTCTAACTGCTTGAGCTATCGTGACTCCACTTGGACAGGTCATGGGTTCAAATCCTGCTCGTGACACTAAGTTTTTCATCTCAACCAAGATCTTACATAAAAAGAATAATTAATGGAAAAAAGTATTGTATTTTATTTTAAATTTTTTTTAGAAATGATAAAGGTTGGGTTGGGTGAGTACGTTGTTTAATATTTTTCAAAAAGTCGAATCTTACAGTTTAAATGTTCTGTATAATTTTTGGCTGTATAATTTATGTAATTCATTATTTAAAATGGTTTTATGGCATTTACGTTGTAAGAGAGTTGAAGAGTGTTTTATGTTTAATTTAGCAAGAACGAATTTTGAGGTTAGGTTTAATTTCAAGCATTGGGAATTGTACCTTATTGTTCTGTTGATTTTTGAGCATGAGTCTTAATTTATAATAAATTTCCCAAAGTTCTTGTTTATTTGCTGATTTTAAGTAAGTGGAGGTAGTGTTGTTAATTATATTGCAAATTAATAGAAATGATAATGGTTAGGTGAATATGTAAGAAAAAAAAAACTAGGAAAATTTTCTTACAACAACCTTCTTCTTAACAAATTTAAATAAAACGGATTAGTATTAAATATTCCAGGTTTTCAATAGAACAACTTTAAATTATTTGTAATACAGACATATGCATATATAGTTTCTTAATATGATTAATATGGATATAAAAAATCACGGATAAATCACATTTGAAAGAAAGAAAAACACTCAGTTCCTTCGACAAAATTAAAAAAAAAATCTTCTTCGTAGACTTTGAAACTATTTTGAATTAATTATTCTTTTTATGCAAAGGCACTTACTTTTTCATCTCAACCAAGACTTTACTTAAAAAGAATAATTAATTGAAATAAGCAATTTGTACTATTAGACCACTAAACATAAATAGATTACTATTTATAATGATTTACATAGTTAGTAAATATAAACATCTACTTGGAATATAACAAATTATGGCTTCAACCATTATTAATTTATGAGTTTTCCTTAGTATAGTAGACAAAACCTCCACATTCAACATTACAATTATATTTCATCCTTCTATTCAATTTTTATTAGTTTATTTGAAAAATTTCTTTTTGCTAGGCCTCATTTTGAAGGTGTTTTTTTTTACTAAATAAAAATCATGATTTCACAACATTTAGACAATCCTGTGCTATGTTCCAGATATGGCACAGGATTACCAAAACTGTACAACTTTTTATAAAAAATCACCTTAAAAATAAGGTCTACCAAAAATAAATTTTTCATCTTTAAAAAGAAAAATGACAGCATTAAAGAAGAAAAGATGAATAATTTATTTGTTGTTTAAACAAAATTTGAAGCAACAAAATTAAGAGTATCTGGTTTCATAGAAATCATTAAACAATTAAAATGTAAACATCATTATCTTTCGAAGGCTGATCTGATTTATATTAACTGATTAAATAATTTTAGAAAAAATGGTTTTGAACCGATATGAAAGAAGCTTAGGACTTACGTATGACTGTCAAAATGACTTTAGTATTACGTGTCGGTGATTTCCTGAAGTCAACTCTACACCTGTAAACGCCAGAATCTGAATCTTTTACATTCTCTATAGTGAGCCTTGCAGGGTCGACTGTTGACTGAAAAAACGCCCTGCCACCCAACGCTTTGTCTTCGGACCAGTGTCTTCCTCCCTCTATCGACATGTTTCGGGCGTCAACACTGAAACACAAATGTAAACTTATGAGCTATTTTGTTATTGAACTTTTAATTCAGTTACAATTGGTATGCATGTATAATCAACCCAGACATATAAAATACACTCAGGAAAAAAACGAATTTTGTTGTTTATTTCAAACTGTATCATATATTAATATATATCATTATATTAATTACAACATACTTATTCTGGAGGGAAAAATGAAAGAGAGGATAGATTTAAAGATATTTTATCTTGTACTGGCCATAACCGTGAAAAACTCTTTATACTTTCAATTAATTATTCTTTGTATGTAAGGTCTTGGTTGAAATGAAACAGTTAGCGTCACGAGCGGGATTCGAACCCACGACCTTCGGCTCAATACGCCGATGCTCTAACCACTTGAGCAATCGTGACTTTATACTATACAATTCAAACAAACAAGAACATAACATTATAGGGGAATCGGTAGCCTCCGGCCAGAAGAGTCCTCACTAAAAAGAGTGGGCCACATACAACTCTGAGAACAAAATCATTCACCGAGTATGAGGGGCTCGAGTCCCCGCATCTACTCCATTCCGAAATTAGACTGCCCTTCCGTTTCACCATGTCCAATTTTTATTCAATTTTGGGAACCACTGAACCAGCGGTCCGGCCGCGGTCGGAAGGAATTTGGGGACGTGGTGATTGACCCACCGCCATCAGAGGGTGAGAACTAGTTGATTTGCACTCTGCTAAAATTCAGCAGTTCGGCCGCGGTCGGAAGGAATTTGAGGACGTGGTGATTGACCAACCGCCATCAGAGGGTGAGAACTAGCTGATTTACACTCTGCTAAAATTCAGCAGTTCGGCCGCGGTCGGAAGGAATTTGAAGACGTGGCGATTGACCAACCGCCATCAGAGGGTGAGAACTAGCTGATTTACACTCTGCTAAAATTCAGCAGTTCGGCCGCGGTCGGAAGGAATTTGAGGACGTGGCGATTGCCTCTTCAACCTCCAGGCGCTCCAATGCTATCATCGTAGTCTGCAACATTTGGCAGCATCCTTCCCTTCTTCCACTCGGAGATCCGCCAAAACCTCTTCTATCTTCCCGGGTTGTTTTATCACGGCAGGAGTATTGGCCCAGATGGCCTTAGGGATTTCGATTCGCCGCTGAATAAGTTGGTTGGTGGAGCCCACCGACAAGGGAGGTAACCATCATTCGTCAGTCCACATTAAACACCCTTCCTTGTAGTTGTCCTCTCTCTGATAGTACGTTCTCGGTGGTGGTTCCGCTTCGATAGTATGTAGAACCACGCCTCCTCGCTCTAGTCCTACACTTCCGCTGCTTGGTAGAAGAGAAGTCCTCCGTGCCAGTGCCGCTCGCCATCCTCAAACCTGTGAGCAGTCTCAGAGATTGTACGCACAATGCACCCGAACTCAGACTAGGAGTGAAGACTAGGCCGTTAGGGGCGAATCCCACCTCGAACTACCGTATCAATCCTCATGTATGGTGGTATGTAAATTTCTCAAGTCTCAATTTTTTCTACTTCGTAGGGGGTAGGGGAACCGGGTTCGCGGAACTTCTCCCCCTCTTCTTGGTGCTGGGGTAGCTTCATCTAGGACCTTTTCTGCCCCAACGACCCCAACTGCTGGCAACGACGAACCCCTCTCTGTCTGGAGATTATACTCTCTGGCGCTTCCTGATAGGATCAGGTGGCTCTGAGTCGTCCTAGCTGTCGCTAGCCTTGAAAGGGAAAATAACATCCTCATAGCACCCGTTCTCTTGGTCAACGCCTATGGCAGGGCACCCCAAACTGAGGTCCGCCGTCCCTGACTTGGTGGTACGCGGTGAATTTCAAGAAAAAATAATAAACGTAATTTATAAACGTAGAAACGTACAAACGTAGAATGAATAAATAAAATTAAAAAACTAATAACAAACGAAAGTTTTTATTTTACAGCAGCAGTCATTATGCTCTCCACAGATATGCTTTAGCTATTAAACAAATGCCAGCTTCTTTTAAGAATGTTTTGGATGAGTCGGTTCAAATTATTAATTATATAAAGTTCCGGCCATTGAAGATAAGACTTTTCACGCCTTCATCAGTCCCTGCTTCTCTATACAGGAATGACATGACGTCTCTCGATTACAGGAATTATGTTCTGAAGTCTTACCTTGTTAATCGACCACAATGTCAAATTGGACGGCGTTTTCAGTGATGAAAAATGGACATGTTACTGTCGTATTTATCAGATATTTCCATGAAAATGAATGAGATGAGTCTTTTTATTCAAGGGAAGAGTATCACAGCTTTCGATGCTAATGACAGATAGCGTCTTCAAAAGAAAATCCCAGTTTAAGGTTTAATCTGTTGAGAAGGAAGAGGTGGAGCACTACTTCCCAAGAGCTCAATATAAAATGCTGCAAGACCATGAATGGATGGTCAAACCATTTTCAGTTTCGACAAAGCCAGCCAGTCTACCTTCAAGCGAATATGAATTTTGATAGTTTGACTCCCACTGGAAAACAAAAAAATTCAACCGCTTGTTCAAAAAGCGAAACGTGTTTTTCTTCCATTTGCCGCAACTTGCCTATGCGAATCCAGATTTTCTATATTCAGCCATTATAACTAAATACCGAAACTGTTTAGATGTTGAACCGGACATCCGCCTTCACTGTCCAAAATTAAAACCAAAATATCCAAATTGTGCAGGCTAAAACAACCTCACTCCTCCCATTAGTCATTAATGTTCAAATTATTACTTTTGAAATTGGCTCGAGTTTTATATAGCTATTGATTCCGTTCTGTCCAATTTGATTTTTGTATTCCGGATTTTGTATGTAAAGTTACATATGTCAATTAAATGTTTGTTTTCATAGTGCTATCTCCCTCCTTTACCTAATTAGGAATGGACTGACTAATTTGTTAAACTTTAATTTACTATATACTATAAGTATCTAATTTTAAATACTTGAATGAGAGTAGTTCGCCCTAGATTTTGTTCTGTGAAAGGGGTTCGCTGGCTAAAAAGTTTGAGAAGCTCTGCTTTATGGGATTCATGTAAGGAGAACGTGTTGGTCAATTTATTGAGCTAATCTCAAAATCGTCCAAGTAATAGGCAACTACTTGAGCTACTTATCGTCGAGCATTATCATGAATGGGGCTACTGTTCTAGAAGGACTTCCTCAAGGTACCTTAGTGCAGTACCATTACGTAGGATAATCATTTTGGTAGGGCATGGACGTTAATTCCGCCCCATAGCTGATTGTCTTTGGAAAGGTACTATCGCAGGGCACATGAAGCAAAGCGTTCACCACACATGGTCCCGGCCATGATTGGCACTAATCAAACCGGCACCTGTCAAGCAGGACTTGGGCTTTGTGACGGATGCTTCATCATATCGTAGGCCAAATCATCTACCCAGGCGAGATCTCGATTTGAAACCACGTTCTTGTCAAATTTATTGTTTCATCAAAGAAAACATTATAAAAAAAACATTAACTCGTTTCACAAGCTGAAAAGAATGAAAGGATGAGTGGTTAAGCGTGTATGGACACGTTGATTCGATACCTGAATCATATAAACATCGCATATAGGGAGTCCTTTCAGACATTAGATAAAATATTATCCTTAATTTGAGCAAATGTATTTATTAGCGTGAACGTTGGAATGTGTTTGAGTATTTGTGATGCACTAACGAGTACCCACAGAAACACCAAAATAGTCTAGGTAATTATGTTTGCAGTGTGAAGAGAACAGACTCCTATTTTTCTAGCGTCCAAGCGATATGCTGATTTGCGAATAGTCTCTTTTCGATTCGATGCCTCTCCAGTAATAGAGAACCTGACGGGACGTCTAGAGACTAGTCTAGTCTCACGAAGCCTTTTGACGACTGTTTTACAGTTGACCCTTACATTACAGACAGTTTGAAGTTGACTGTCAATCAAGGAAGCCGTTACCTGACCGCAGTTCGGTCCTCTAGCCGTCATACATCGCGGTCGGTCACTACATTCTTTTCGATCGAGACTTCCGGTGGCCCTAAATCGTTATAACCATGGATGGTAGAACCGGGCACATACAGGACTTGGGCTATGTAACGGACGCCTACGTTCGTCGTTGGCCAGTGTCTGCTCGGGCGAAATCTTCTCAACTTAATACCATGCTTCCAATTAATTAATCTTTATGTAAGGTATTGGTTGAGATAAAAATGTCAATGTCTTGAGCGGGATTCGAACCGACGACCTTTGCCTAAATACGCCGCTACTCTACCACTTGAGCTATCGTGATTTCGATCAACTCGGACTCCAACTTCCCATCTCAAACTTTAATGGCTTTTTTATCTCAACCAATACCTTCCATAAAGATTAATTAATTGAAAGATGTTATTTGGCCAATCGGACCACGAAATCTAATGGATTTAATACCAGGCTTGAAAGAGAAATTTTTTACCTCAAATGTATTTTTTCATCATAGAGAATACAATAAAAAAGCAATTAAAAGGATTAGAAACACTATAAAGGTGAACAACAAGTTATTAATGTTGTGTTTATGTTTTAATTAATTAAGGTTTTTAGCTGAGATAAAAAGGTCAGGGTCACGAGCGGGATTCGAACCCACGACCTTCGGCTTGATACGCCGCTACTCTACCACTTGAGCTATCGTAGCTATAATCACTCCAATTTTCCCTCCTTATTGCCATTTTTCAAATGTCGTGTAATCTATTTCATTCTCGGCGACAAATAAAATGGCCACGGAGAGCTTTAGTCAAGATATACTTTATTTTAACTCAATAAATTCACTAGTTTTCGTGGTCCGCTTGACCAATTAATATCATTCAATTAATTAAGGTTTTTAGTTGTGATAAAAAATAAGTTGGTGCCCGAGTGGACCGAAGTCACAATAGCTCAAGTGGTAGAGTAGCGGTGTATCAAGCCGAAGGTCGTGGGTTCGAATCCCGCTCGTGTCACTTTTTTATCTCAACTAAAAACCTTAATTAACTGAATGATATTAATTGGTGAAGCGGACCACGAAAACTAGTG